GTCAATTAGGAACATACATAAGTCCATCTTGAAGCTTCTCAGAAGGATGTTGATTGAAATCAGTGGGATCAGAAAATGACAAGAACACTGAAATGATGCCACCAATGCTCACTTCTTCAAGCTGATGATATGTGTAACGAATAGGAACAGGCTCATCATGGTCACATTGAACATTAGGATCCTGGCATGCCACTTGAGGCATTACTATCAAAAATGATACCATCAATGCTATCATCATCCATATAAGTCTTCTTTTGGTATACAAATGTCCCTGTCCACAACATGATTCTTGAAGGTGTCCAAGTAGAACAGTGTAACATGACTTCATTGGCTGTTTTTTCAGGCAGAAATAGACAGTAATATCTACCACTGTTTATACTCACAGAGCTCTAAGGGCTTCTAATTTGAATGTCATGGGAAACATTAACAATGCTGTCATGGTCAGGTTATCATTTTGCCTTGGAGTCCCATATGATTTGGAAGGTACAAATAGGCTAATTTCATAATGATAAAGAAACAAGCATCTGTCTCAAGATTTTTTATACTCACAACTAAAAAAAACTGATGGCCTTCTGAGGTAAGAAGTGATGGAAAAAAGAATGAAATCACTATATATCTATATCAGTGTAGAAATACAGAAACAGAAATAGAAGTAGAAATAGGTAATAAAACTAACAAATCTTTAAAAGTAGAGCTAAGAATTACAAAGCTAGAAGACGTGTTTATTTTAAAATATTAGCTAAATCTACTGTTTAACCCAACAGGCCTAATATCTCATATTAATAATAGTTCTTCAAGGTTTATTTCTTTTCTTTTTAAATAAAAGCCAATATCTCCAGTAAGAATAGGAAAACTTTTAGTTCCCAAATTTCAAAGGTATATGCATCCAATTAAATTAGAATTGTTCTTATAATTGCTCTTTTCCCCTGGGTAGTCAGCCACCGCTGTTCTTAGAAGGTGGGGTAAGAATTCCCTTCCCTCTCTCCTCACAGGGGGAGAAATACTTTGGGCAGCTTTTGCAGGAAAAAAAATATTTAAAGTCTTAAAGAGAAGATCAGATCTCACCCAGTTTCATCCACATTGCTTTAAAGGTGCTTGGTTGTAGTTTTGACTTCGGCTGTCAGCAGCTTAATGACGAGCCATATTACTATGGCCGGTCTTTTCCCCACTGGTTTGGAAAGCTGCCCCGGATCAAGCGGCAGGGCTGCCACCCTTCTGCGATTGAGCGGGGGTCCTCTCCTTGCTCATCACCCCTACAGGGGTTACTTTCAATCCTTTCCAGGGTCTCCCTGCAGGATAAAACCAGACGCTGAAGATGGAGCTCACCTTCATCCATCTGCCAGTATCGCGATGGCAAACCGGAAGTCTTCACTATAGGTTTTTAAGAAGAGACTGGACAGCCATATGTCTGAAATGGTAAAGGGTCTCTTGCTTGACCAGGGGGCTGGACTAGATGACTTCCAAGGTCCCTTCCAGCTCTATTCTGATTGATTGATTGCTCTTTCTTATTTGATTGGTTATACTTTTGCTTTATATAACAGTCTCCCACAATATATTATGTAAATCAATTGATTTCTCACTCCAATTGGCGGGGGGGATATGTATTCCACAACCAGAGGCCTGAGAATTTGAGGTTCTGCATAATATATTAGTAATTACTGCAATTTTCTGGGCAGAGAGCTTTGATATTGTTCCTGGGATCTGCTGAAATCACTCTTCCAGCTTAGGAGTCACAACCTCAAGTGCCCCTATCACCACTGGACCACTTTGGCCTTTAATTTCCATGTGTTCTCTAATTTCTTTTTCAGGCCTGGTACTTCTTCAGCTTCCCATACTCCTTCTTGATGTTGCTGCTACTTGGCACTGCTACATCTATCACCACTGCCACAGGATTTTAGCACTCTTAGGACTCTGCTCCCTGGTCACAGCTTGTAGGTTGTGAATCCCACTTCTGACACTAGATTTCTGTGGAATCAAAACACAGGAACCAAAGCAAGTAATCAACATGTGTTGGTGGGATTCCTCCCAAAGAATGAGAGAAACCCCACATCACAAAAGGATACATTCATATTTATATATCTCATGTGCATAAGAAACACATGATGTAAAGATATATATTCATAGGTAAAGGATCTCAGGTTCCTATAGGTAATGGAACTCAGGTTATTTCCTGCACCTGTTTATTGCTAGAAACAAGAAGAAGTGATGAAGCAATAAACAATGGCAGAAAGGAATAAAGCAATTGTGAGAAGAAATTTCTCCAGTTCGTTTCCCCAGCTGGGAATAAGCCTTCAGCACAGAAAAAAGAATAGACACTAAATGAAGCAAGCTGCCACAAAGTAGATTTTTATTTCAGAAACCAGACAGAATAGTGACACAGCAATGGTTTCTGGACTAGCTAGTAGTTTTTCCATGGTGAGTGGTCCAACTCTTATATCCTTGTCTTATTGAAATTTTAATTGGATTTTGTATAACCTTTACAAAATCCAATTAAAATTTCAATAAGACAAGGATGTCTTCCTAATTTTCCTAGCCTGATTTTGTTTAGACAGGAAGAGGTTAATCCTGTCTTCAGGAGATGGCTTGCTATGCTAATGGTTTCTCTGTGTGTGTTTGTGCTAATCTTGTCAGTTTTTACATTATTTCTATTAGGTGGGTATTTCCGTAGCCCCTAATCCAGTGGGTTTTTTATTGTTTACACAAGGCTCATGTTTTGTGGTTTCTTGTCCTCCAGTGTTTCCTTTGGCTAACTAATTCTTGGCTGTCTGCCCATAATTACACAGGGTGGGGGTGGAAGAGTGAGAGAAAAGAAAAAAAA